ATTTAGTGCTAATAACAACAACCAGCTACCTGAGAATCACGTGTGTTTGCTCAGCAGAATGTGTTGCTATATTTGCCAACTGCAGGGCTTTTACCTACTGGTCCCGTTTTATCACGTTTAAAAAGTTTTATTCAGGTTAAAGATACGCTCTGCATGACACCCTCATCCCCGAAACAGCGCTTTACTCGTTTATGACGTATATTTTCTAATAAGTGAAAGTGATAAATATGAATTCATTCCAAAGCATAATTGCCAAATGGCACACTGAAAGGTTTTTATGTCATTCTAATGAATTTAGAGCGTACACTCACGTTCAGTGTCAGTTTTAATTATCGAGACAGAGTTTAGTGGACTTGGAACTTCGATTTTCCGGCTGCAAATAATTGAAATTAAATTAAATCCTGAGGCATGGAAGCAAGACCAAAAATAACTCTGAGCCATGTGCGTAAATTAAAGTTCACAAGTCTGTCAACGGCACAAATAGCCTTGTAATGTTACTTTTCTTTGCAACCGAGTTGGAGATGTTCTGCTTTAGAACTGGGAATACTGTCAACTTGACAGTTGTCCAGCAGTCAATCACTGGCAGTAAAGAAGATAGATAAGTCACAAAATATTATTACTGAAGAAGGTTTATATAATGAAGTTTACTTATGCAAAGATTAGTGGAAGGTACAGTGTACATTTTAGGACAGGTCTCAGGAAAACATCATCACACATTAGAACTGAGAGCCTGAGAGGTCAGACCACAGATAAAAAAAAAAAAACGTCAGGCCTCTGACTAAATGGCATCAGAATAAAAAATATCCTAAGAAAACAGGCTTCAGACGAGAAGGTCTCAAAAAGAACGGAGTCAGACTGTTTTTTCTGACGCTTTTGCCGGTTTTGTTAAGATTTTTTTTAATGCTGATGCTGTTTAGTCAGAGATCTGATGGTTGTTTTGTTTATGATCTGACATCTCAGGCTGTTTGTTTTAACGTGATGACGTATCATCTCAATTTATTGTTGAATGATGAGTAAACAGAATTTCAAGTTTTACGTAAAAAAAAAAAATATATATATATATATATATATATATATATATATATATTGATTTGGTCGAAGGTTTTAGTTTATGTGGTTTGTCTCTAAATTGAGGGATGTTTTAGTTAGTTCTGCCTTTAAGAACAAAATGCTGCCAGACTCTTTAAAAATAGAACAAATATATCAGCCATGGTAGATTCCTCGGTTATATATCTATTCACTGACATAAAACTAATTATTACAGCATAAAATGTTCTAAATAAAATGGTGGACCATTATTTCAGCCAGAACTGAGTGATCTGAGTGTCTAAGTGAATCAGAACAGCCTGAAGCTCCAGAATGGCTGTTTTGTTTCAGCATCGAGGCAACATATATACGAAGGTATCAAGGCCAGTAACCATGCAAGAGCTGCTATCAGCACTAGTTGAGTCGCTCAGTATGTGTGTGTGTGTGTGTGTGTGTGTGTTTAATAAACAGACCATCTCAAAGGCAGTTGCACATAGTTTTAAGAGCAGAGACGAAGGTCAGTCACAGCTTGCTAAGCGACGCTTCAATCAGGACCCGAGAGGCCTCTTAGAAAACCCAAAGTTTTAATTGCCTCAGTTCACACAGTCGGGAATTTCATTTCATAACAATGAGCTGCAAGCACAAATACCTTTGAGCTTGGCTCATAGGAAAGAGAAAATGAACGTCTCTGAATTATATAGTCGTCATCATTTCTTGCTGCAGCGTTTGACTTTGCTCCGGTTCTGTTTTGTTAAGCGGATTTAATGAAAGTGGATTTTTGGCTTTCTTATCACACTTTTTTATACTTATTATGGTTTTGGAAATGTTGTGCACAATATTTCTGTTAACAAAAAGGAGTGGGCATGAAGACTCACATGGTGAGGTTGTTATAATAAATTATTGTCTATTGATACAGGTAGCCAGAGCCAAACAAAAAAAAAGAGAGAATAATAACCAGCTTAGTGACAAGCTCTATTATTTTAGTCAACTGAAGACAAGTTCAAATAAATGGCTTGATTTTATTTGGAGCTGAGAAACTCAGTGAAACACCAGTTGCATAGTTTTGTTTCTCTGTCTTTTTGCAAATTATGCACATTTCCTTCACTGTGGACAGAATTACGTAACATGGATTTGAAGATATTTTATAAAGCACGGTGCCTCCTCGTTTGAAGTGACCTCAGTTGCCCACTCATTAACAGTATAGACTCCAAGCTATCTTTGTGTTCAAGGCTGGAAAAACAAGCACCTTTGAAAATGGCGAGAAATCGTTGCATAAAAATCTAAAAGAACGTGTTTAGATGTCCCAGAGCGAATCCTACCCAACAAGACAAACATCCTCTGATCTGTTGTTTGTTGGGCCCCAGAATTGCATTGTGCCTCACGCAGTCCTCAAAGCTTTGTTTTTTAAACTCTCAAGGTTCACTTAAGGCACCATGCAACCTTGGTGAACTTTGGATCAGTGCCGTTGCAACGAAAGGAATGCTGCTGATCCTTTTCTTGCCAATATTAAACATATATTGTTTCTTGTGTTTCCTGCACAAATAACAGAAATATTACCGTTGTCCGTGCATTGAATGGCTGGCTGCTGCCTGATGTTAACACTGCAGCGCTTACGTTGGACTTCTGAGCCTGTTCACACACAGCAATCAGTCACCAGGGTAGAAATGTTCAAACCTTCGAGTGCGGCGAGCCTCTTTACGGAGGCGACCCGGCTGGTGTCTGTGTTTGGGGTTCAAGGCACATGACGTGAGGCTTTGTTTAACAGTGCAATGCAGCGAGATAATGGACAGTAACACGGTCAGTTACTAGTGGTCCAATTCACCTGGAGTCAACAGAGGAATGAACCACAGAGGACTGTGAACATCTGGCTTTTACTGCAGTTGACTCTAAGGGGGAAAACGGTGCTTTTTAAAATTGATTTAAAAGTGTGGTATAAGTTTAATTTGAAGTATTTGGCTCTCCAATTTGTTGACCCGTTTATTAAGGAAGCTGCTATTCCACCCATAACTGGCTGCTGGCCTGGGCAGAAAGATTTCAGAAATTGTCTGCAATCACACTTAGTTTTCCCTGAACAGCTCTAGATATAATATCATTAACTTTTTTATTTATTTTTTTTTTTCTAGAAGTAGCTTGTGACCGTTCAGTAGCTCGCCCACAGTCGCCATTCGTTTTGGCGTCTCCACTTTGACGAAAATCGATTTAGCGGCAACTGCTGGTCGATGCGCAGTCAAGATAAAAGCAGAATTCAGTCATTTTCCAAAACTTTAAAATGGAATTTCATAATCTAACCACAGCAAATCAAATACCGTGATACACTCATAGCGAAAGTCACAAATGGTTTCAATCAATGCAGACATTATCGGTCTTGTAATTGGACCAATTACAAGGGGGAGAAGCGTTAAAATAATTTCTGGTTTTATGAGGAGATAGTTTATATCAGAAGTGAAAGAATGACTTTAGGTTTCACTAAAAGCTAAGCTTGTTATCCAAACCAAAAGAAAATGGAAGGAATGTCATTTATTTCAGCCTTTTTATAATGGTTTGTGTCAGAGTCGTTGCAGGACTCCTGGACTACACGCACAGTGGGTTACGATGTCCGACTAGAAACGGTTTTCGTTTTCATTGCTGCTGCTGCCTCCCACATGCTGCTTCTTGCAGACCTGGGTAAGTGATGAGAGCTCAACCCAGTTTGACACCAATTGTTATATAAAAATAATTGCAGGAGGTGCATAAGTGTATGTTTTATTGTTATTTTTTAACTTTATGGTTTAACGTGTGTATGCGTCTTTGTTTACAATCTGAAAATGCATTTTCCGTACAAATGTGGCACCGTCTAAAGGGGGAACAAACAAGTTTTCCGACATCACAAGACACACTGCCACAAACTATAGTTAAAACAAAGAAATAATTGGACAAGTTCTTCTTACTTTTGGGGGCGTATAGCTTCACTACTCTATAACGACATCTCTTACAAATGCTTGCTAAACTATTTTAGACTCTCCACTGCAAAAACGCTCAACAATCATCACAAAAAACATGAAAAATGCACCTAAAGAGATTTTAAAGAGTTTCCAGGTTTCTGAATTTTCATGAAGAACATTAAATGTTTTTTTTTTGTTTGTTTGTTTGCTTTTTTTTGGTTATAATTTATTCATCAGTAAACACGTCTCTTTTCCTCAGGTTTTTGTGGATTTTCCCCATCGACCTATGACCCCTGCTCTGAGAGAAAGCTAACAATCTGTTTGCTGAAAACAATGCAAATGAATAAAGTTCCACGGTTCATAAGGGATGAGAACAGCATTTTTAATTGCATGAAATTGTCCACAGTTTTGTTTAATTTTTCCTTGGACTTTGCACAGACGGATTATTATTATTATTATTATTATTGTTATTACCACAGCAACTGATCCCCAGCTGAATATTACGGAGACTTGAGCCTGACCTTTATTTGAGAAAGGTCTGGATTGCCTCTTGAATGGGAGTGTTTTTCACTGCCAGAGCCTGTCTAATTTCTGGTCTTCACAATGACTCATTTACACGAAGAAATGAGAATTTGAATTTAGACCAAATGGGAGACAAAGAACATTTTAAACCTGAGGAAAAACACAACTTTTTAGTATAAATGACATGATCCAGCTGCTGTTCAGTAATAAAGATTTACTTTATTACTACCACTTCTGAGTTAAGATAACAAAAAAAAACTTAACTATCAATTGACATGACCTCATATGCTTTTATGTGGATTCAAATACTTTTTTCTTGTGATTGAGAGATACGCATGTCTTTGAGTACACATTACATTACTCGCAGGAACAAGGTCATGTCTTTGCATGATTGGTTGACCCGCCTAACTGTAGGATAAACAAAACTTCAACCCATGAGAAACAAGTCCCAATACGTTCTTTACTATGCAGACAAAGAACTTTTTATTTCTTTTAATCTGACAAAACAGTGATCCCCAGAGACAGAAAGACTCATTTAGACAGAGGTTTTACTGTGACAGAATTTATTCAAAGAACATCATCATTTCAAAAAAGTATGTTTTGGACATTGCTTTTTTTTATTTTTTATAAGTAGTTAAGATCAACTTATGAAAATCAGATTTTTCTTTTTTCTTTCAATTTACTTTGAACGGATGAGGTGAAACCTCTTGCATTAACAAAGAGAGGGGAGTAAATACTTTCTCACAGCAATGCACGGTGTTTGGAATTGTTTTGTTTTTTTTCCCACGCATGGTAAGCATATATAAAATGCCACCCTAAGAAACTGAAAACTATCTAAGAGTAATAATTCTCCCACCTTGTTTATAGTACAGAACAATAATGCAGGAGCGCCACCCAGTGGAAAGCCATGTTACAAATAAAAGTCTGTGTTGTAAGTTAAAGTTTGAAGTGCCAGTCATAATTCTTTTTTACATGAGATTTCTACTTTGCTTCCAGAAAACAAATTAATAAATCAAATAAGAAGCTGTTTGCCCCCCGCTATTCACACCTGAACATACAAATTAACAAAAATCCCAAGCGAAATGCACTCTTACCTGCACACAACCATTACCATACCTGCATAAATCCATTCCAGGCGTTAGGAACGGCTCATCTCAATTAGTAGCTTTTTTTATTTTATTTTATTTTTTTTTATCTCAATCAATAGTCAAACAGCCTGCATTTTTACATGATAATAATCTTCATCAAGATCCCCATCATAATGCAGATCCACTGGAGTTGTTGGGTTGTGCTCCCTGATGAAACCATGCGACTGGAGATGTACTTGTTGAGAGAAGGCATCCACAGTGAGCAGTTATAAGGCTGTCTCTGGCTCCCTCTCTCTGTGGGAGCTGTACTCTGGACAGTGAAATATCCTTTGTCGTCCACGTTTTGTTTCGTTTCGGTGCCATCTGTAAGGTTTACGTCTCCCTGGAACCAGTGGATGTCAGCAATGGGGAAAACTCCTTCAAAGGAGCATTGGTCAGAGGGTATATCCTTGCCAGGCTTTCTAAAGCAGTCTGTGAAGAGAAACGACTTTCAGAAAGATCAAAATACAACAGCAAAAATAAATGGTTATAAACCGACTAACCTCCAACTTTCAGATGGCTCTGCCCATTCACGATTCGACCTCTTGAGTGTAGTTTGCAGTAGTAGTTTCCGTCATCGGACGGGATGATGTTGAGGATGGTCAGAGACAGAGTGAGTTGAGATGTTGTGTTTGTGAAGTTGCATTTAATCTTGTCGGTAGATGTATTGTTCATGTACTGGCACAGTGTTTTATTTTTGTGCTGCCAGTCAAATTTGAAGATCTTTGAATCCTTGAGTTTTGCTTCGCTGGCATTGCAATTCAGGGTCACATTTTCACCACAGGTCTTAAACACATTTGGTTCGGTGTCCAGCTGACTCACTGTTTAAAGACAGAAAATCCAGGTTAGAAAGCATGTCTGAAAATCTAGGGACCACAGCAAGCCCAGAAGAACTAAAATCCGCCGACATGTGAGAGCGACTTATGCCTATTTCAACAGTGCAAACAACAAATATACTTTAATATGCATTGACGCAACTGAAACAGTTTAAGCAGAATATAATGTCTAAGATAATGTCATCCTTTTCTCAAATCTTTGCCGTACAGCCAATCAGTGCCAATGAAGATAAAATTGTCTACTGTGCAAAACTTGCTTGCCAACATGTCAATTAGCATTGCTCTTCCAATAATTACCATTAGCATTCATTCCAAAAGTTTGCTATTTTTTATTTATTTTTATATTTATTTATTTACGATTTGTTTTATTTAGAACAGGGACAATACACAGTATACAAAAATGCAATAACCACAAGAGGAAACTTGCACTGGATCAAGATACAGATTTAATTGCTAATTTCCACCTGTAGTCTCCAACTCCCAACACTTATTCACACATGGTCTTTGGATTACCCTACAATTCACTTTTATCTGTTTCACATGAGTAACAGTGAAGCAACAGGTGCTTAAATCTTTGGCTTTTTTTTTGTTTTTTAAGAATTTTCTTGGCTCTGGTGGCTTTTATTTGACAGTGAGTATAGACAGGAAAATGAGTTGTGAGAGAGGGGGAAGAAATTTGGGACTAAAATCTGTGACGGCCCCATAGAGGGCTGAGGCCTTTGTACGTGGGTTGCGTGCTCTACTCCCGTGTCACCACAGCGCCCTAAATCTTTGACATTTTTCCACTTTGCAGTTATCTCAAGAAAAGATCTGATAAGTCAGTGGAGTTTCCAGTCAAAATATCTATTTAAAAAAAAAAAAAAAAAAACTCCAGAAAGCAACACTTCAAAATAAGTTAAAGTTATCTTTGTAAGTTTAACAACAACATAAAAGTTGCTCTTAGGGAGACAGTCTATCATTGTGTCAATGTCCTGGACCCTGTCAATGTGGAAGACAGTAAGCACTCTGTGGCACGTCTTCGTCGATGACTGTGACATGCTTCAGGGCATCAACAATTAACATCCTTCAGTTAGTGAAAAGAAGAAAAAAAAAATTGTTTCATTTGTCACCGACCAGTTAGACACTTCTTATTTTCCCAAGCATTTTCCTGTTTGTTCAAAATCATCCACAATGAAAACTTATGATCCTTTCAGTCCAAAGTGACGTAATGACGACTTGTCAGAATGTATCCTAATTGACAGAGTCAGTTTAACTCATGAATCCACAGACACATTTGTCCTAAAGACAGGAAAAGTGCTGGCAGATGTTTTGAATGGGTGTGTAAACAGGTTCTGAGGGTAAACTACAGAAAACACAATCACCACATACAAGTAAATGACATGTAGGTGTTACTGTGATTTGCCTCCAAGCAGTCTTTTGTAGACAAATTGTAAAACCTACAGGAAAAAGTGTGGGCTAAACAATTTAATACATTGAACATGCATGATTTATTTATTTATTTTCTGTTTTGAGATGTCCAATCACAAAAATCACAAGTTGCATATATTTTCCACGTGTAACGTAGTTGATCATACTCATGAGAAGTGAACATGCAATTTCCGCATGCTTTTATTAAAAAGGAATAAATAAATAAATAAATAAATAAATAAATAAATAAATAAATAAATAAATAAATAAATCTACTCACCAGAAATGCTGACCGCTAAGGTGAACCAGAAAATAGAAACCCAGACAACACCAAGACGAGTCCATGGACATGGAGCACAGGAGGGTCTCATTGCCTTCAGTCGAATGCAAATCAGCATTTATCACGTTAAAAGGAGCAACAACGACTGGATCTGAAACAGAACAAAGTTGTGGCTCTCTTCACAATTCAGCAGTTTTTTCGCTATGAGTAACTCAGCCTCACTAAAGGTACCAGAACTCGAGAGGAAGGGCTAAACTGAGCCCAGCATCAGCCGCTTTGCAGACCTAAAAGAAACTTTTAGTCTGCGTGGAGTACTATCGGGTTTTTGACTGAACATGAGCAGGCATGCCCTGGAATGGATGAGCGCAGGCAAAAACAATGAGACAGAGGGTTTCTTTCAGCTGAATGAAACACTAGCACTTCACTAAATGTTTCTGCTGAGATCCATGGATCATCTAGCAACTAGTTCTTTATGATTATCATTTTCTAACATAAATACACAATAGTCAATGAAATATTTTTTTGTAGTTCTACTCTACAGTTCTTTCTTTGCAACAAATTGTTGTGTTTAAAATAAAATAGGGTTGGTGTTACTTGCTACATTATATCATGTGTCTAATGTGAACTGAAGCCAAGTTAAAAACATTTTTATTAAAAATGTGAATATCAACTTGCTCTTCAATCAAACGTAGATTTTTTTTTCTTTATATTGCAAAAGTATTTCCATCCCTTGTTTTGTCATGTGAAAACCTCTGAATTCAATAAATTGTATTGGGATTTGGGAATGTTTCACCACTGGTTCACTGCTACATAATCTGGGAAGCCGGATAACTGACATGGAAACCAAATGTGAAGAATCCAGAGCTGCCAGGCAAGACATGACAGAGGAATCTTGATGGAGCTTAACGACCATCACGGAGGAAAACCTGCGTATGACTCAAAACTGAGGGGAAGTTTCCCCTTCAGCAGAACGATACCAAAACATATCTAAATTCGTTTGACGATCCCAGCAAAACCTTAAATGTAGATGCTCTCCATCCAGTCTGTATTTAAGCTATTTTGTGACGAAGCATTGCAAGCATAGCTGATGAAGGCACACCTGAAAAACTGTTCCCCGTAATTTGACGAGTTAAAACGTGTAAAATGTACCTCTCGACGTAACTTTTCGTGGCACCGTGGCTAATATTTTGATTAAAAAAAAAAAAAAAAAAAAAAACTCTAAATGTTTGATTACGAATACAAAATAGTTTCCAACCAAAATCCCCCAAAATTGTTGCGTTGTATGATTTATATTTTTATAGTCATTTTTATTGTCCTTAATAAATATGTTTTTTGTTTTTTTTATTAGTTTATTCTCTCTTGATGACCGATGTAGCGTAACTGTTTGAGATTAGTTGGACATTTTTCACAAAACCTCGACAGGTTTGACTCACATTTACTCATAAGGACGTTATTGTCGTTTGCCAACTTGTTTTTGTAGATCATCAAGTTGTACTGTGAAATCTTTTGTACGTTTTATAAGCTGTCACAGCGTGGCCCGGCATGTCGCTGCAATGAGACAGTAGAAAGTACCGCAGGCTGCAAGTAAGCCAGAACAAAAATACAAAACCAATATTAACACTAAAACATCTGAGTCTGAACAGATTTGCACATTGTTCTGGAAACACATATTTATACAAATTATATTAAAACACAACTCTGTGCTATTTATAAAAAGATAAACTGAAAATAGGATATAAAGTTACTGACAGAATTAAATAAATAGAATGTAATGATGCTGTCATTTCAAGCTCCAATGTTTGAAATAACGGATTCAGACGTTTTGCAGAATGAAGTAATACTATTCTATTTTATTGCTATTTTATATTATTTGTAAAACCAAAAGTGAATTTCACATTGTTCGCATGTTCAAATATGAAAACACCAAGAGAAGAGAAGAGGAGACGAAAGAAAGTAAAGAACGGAAAAGAAGAGAGAGAAGGATGAAGGAAAATCATTCTCCAATTCCAGGTTTGCCTCTTCGTCATCTTTCTGCCTTGTCTCTCAGTTGTTTCTCTCCCACACTGTCTGCCTGTCACTCTATTTCAAAGTCTGTGTTGGCATTGTTGCTGCATTTGGCGCAGGAAAATTTTTTGCCACTTTATGCATTAATTCACCCTGCAATTTCTGTCCAACTTGTGTTTCCTTATACTTTCTGAGACTTAAACTTTTATTTTTTTCTGCAATTTGTTTTCCACATCAAAACCACAAACTTCAAAGTCTGTCACACTAAGTTAGTAGCAGTGTGACAGACAGACTAACAGAAAGCAGCACTTAATTTTGAAGTGGAAGAACAAGGAAAGAGATACATCCCCAAAAATGACATTACCATGAAAAGGTTTGTCATTTTTTTTGTCATTCAGTTCAGAATGTGAAACTCATATATTCTATTTATGCCTTTTACATAAGCCGAAGCATGTCAACCTTTTGTTTCTTGTAATTTTGACGATTATTGCAGAAAATAAAAATCCAAAACTTAGTATCTCAGTTTAGGAAACTTATGAAACAGGAAACTTTACATAGAAATGTCGGGCGTCTTTCTTTTCCCTCAATACTTGGACTTCCTTCTGCATGAATTTCTGCATCAGTGCAGCCTTGGCATGGAGTTGGGTCTGCTGGGATGTGATGGAAGCCCAGGTTGCTTTGATAGCACTCTTCGGCTCTTTTGTATTTGAGCCCAAAAGCAATGGATTTGTCAGCCAGAAATCTCTATAACTTTCTGCAGAAAATCTCCCCATCCATGATCTGGTTTTGTGATGAGATCAATCATTTAATGTTTAATGCATTCTGAGTCCCCAATGAAAACAATTTAACTTCAGTTGTGTAGAATGCCCCTGTAGAAATAAACATGCCTCATCCTGCAGAAATAAAAAAAAAAACACTCAATTAAAATGTCAGCCTTTCACAAAAACTTTGACACGATCTGCCAGATGTTCAAAGACTCTGCAGGAACAGATAGATAAACATGCTGAAACAGGCAAAAAGCAGCTGCAGCAGCCCTCCATACACTGCTAAAAAAAACACTTCCCTTTTCCTGAGTTTTCATCACTGATTGGAGTGTGGAAGAAGAAGAGGACCAAATAAAGAATTTAATGAAGCACTGGGCTGGAACATTTTACTTGTCCACGAGTCCGACACATAAAAACAAGCAGCTTAAGTTACCTTGGAGAAAACTCGGAGGAATGAAAAACACTCAAAGTAACAGTTACTGGAAGAATGGGAAGAAAACAGGAAGGTTAGGCAAAACAATAAAGTTCAGGTTAGTCATCAGCTGGGAGTGAAAAAATAACAATAGACCCAGCCGGGGATGATAAAGACGGATCACAGAACAAAGAAAACAACAAAGCGGATGATGTGCACTTAAGTACATCACATACTGTGTGAAGTGCACACTGGGGACACCTAGTGGATATAAGAGGAAGAGCACATGTGAACGTGAACACTTTACAAACCAGGATTTTAAGAAGCATTTAAAAGCTAATAGGTGTCCAGTGATGCTTAGAGTTTAATCAAAACATTTACATGTTGATGTCCAAGAATGTACAATGTCTGAATTAGGAAACTGTCTCTCTGAGGGAGTTAACACCAAAAATCCAGCTGATTTTGTAGCTTTCATCTCTCAGCATAGTCAATATAAACAAACGTGACCCGACAAATGTCACTTTTTTAAAGTGTGCAATTAGGTGGCATAGTGCTGCAATAAAGCAGCTGCTCATTTAAAACACAGGGGCAAAAGTAAAGGTAATAAGACGGCACGGTGATTGAATATTTCACCAGAAGACAAGGACAGCTGACAGTGTTGAGAATAAACTTAGAAATGGGGATTTTCACAAAGTCGGTCATTCAAGGTGAACACATAAAAATAAGTCTGTTCATGATGAACATAAAGGCTTCATGGTTGAAAGAGTTTAGTCATTGTAAAAAGATTGTCAAATAGATCACAGCTCCATAAAAAGCCAAGATTTTCAAGAAGTGGCTTCTTGAAGTCTTTTTTTAGCTAATGGAAAAAAGATTTAAAAAAAGTATTTTCTTTCTTTCTTTCTTTTTTTCATTAGCTAACTACTTGATGTGAGAGTTTGCGGGGAGAGAGCCACTCATCAAATATCTCTGCGTCTTACTCAGTCTTCCAGCCACGACAGATGGAACAAACAAAGGCCTCAGCCTGCAGGTAGACAATATAATAAGAACATTCTGATACAATAACCCAGTTCTTTGAGATTTTCACTGAGAATCTGCACAGTTTGATGTATGGACGTTTTGTTGTTTTTTTTCACTGCATGCTTTCAGAACCATTAACAAAGGGAATCTGCAAAACCTTGACAGCTGACACGCTTGCGATTCACTGGCTTGAACAGGATATGTACATATTTTAAACACCGAGCCAAACTCAAGACTCTCCTCTGGGCTACGAAAGTTTGACAGGCTGTTCTAACTTGCAGCTGCCGCACAATAATAAAAAAAAAAAAACAAAACAAAAAAAAACTTGCTCCTAACCGAACCTCTGTTAAGAAAGCCAACTCATCTGAGTGATTGAGAGTCTCTTTGTGTTTGGTCATACAAACATTTACAAACAAATAATATTTTGTATTATTGCTTTTCAATTGTTGCGGCACGAGGAGAACTCTTGGACCTCCGTTTTCATAAATTAAAATCTGAGAAGCCTGCCATTCATTTTTATCCAGCCCCCTGATGAATTTCAAAGAGCTTCCAGTTCAACGTATTACTTTCAGAACAGCGGTGGGCGATTCAATCTCAGTATAAAAGCAGCTGTTGTGCAAAGGCCTAGTGGGTCTGGTAGAGAACTTGCAGCGTCATAAAGACCAATGAACGCCACAGACAGATCAGGGAGAAAGTTGTAGAGAGGTTTGGAGCTGTGTTTGGTTATGAATCAATATTTCACAATTTTTTATTATTTTTTTTTATTGCTCTCCTTTGGTTTGTTTTGGGATGTGGAAAATAGATAAAATATCTAACATTTTTCTTCCGTCATACTCCTACACGCTCTTTCTTGTTTTGGTCTATAAACAAATGCTTTTTGTTTCTTTGACTTGAAAATGTTACAAGACACTCTACGCTTTCTGTGATTTGTATGTTTTTCAGTCATGAAAATAGACGCAGAAGCCTGGTAAGTGATTTCTGTGCGATGACAAATAATGGCCCGAGTAGAGAAAGGCACACAGCCACAAAAAGAGGGGGAATCAAAAGTGAATCTACAAAACATCATTCTGCAGTGGGTGGTGTCCTTGGTTACACAGCCGTCAGACGTTTATATTATTTTTCTCTTTTATTTAAAAGGTTCAAAATTCTCTCCTCAGACTTGTGTTCAATAAACCAATTTCGACTGATGTCTCTGATAACAGTCAAGGAAGGTTCAGTGATGAATAATTTAGAGATTTCTTTTTGGAAAAAAAAACAAAACAAAACAAAGGTAAGCTGCTTAAGAAGCTACAAAAAAAGTGTTCCCTCAAGGAAAACACTCAAGGACAGTGAAGATATTTAATGTATTCTTTGCAAAGGTTAATTTTTCAACATCAAATTTTTCATGCAAAAAAAATGTGAGAAATTAATCTGAGTGTTTTTAACATTTTCCACAAAGTTCTCCCAGAGGACCGGTGGAAAAGATGGCAGTAATCATCAGCTGCCTGGAATCAGTTTTAATAAACATGGCTTAGATTTCCTTCTGTTCTCGTTTCTACTTACTTGATTAAAGGCCAGGGGCTTTTCTCTTATTATTTCACAGCATGATGTTTTCTGTCCTTGAGATTTTCTTTTATTATAAAAAGAAGATATTTCAAACATTAAGAGACCTCTTCTTTTGTTGGCAATTCTTCTGAGACAGTTTCTGCCTCCGCTATGTTCACATCTTGAAGTTTTCAGATCCCTAAGTGAAAATCTGTTGTTCTGAACATAAAGCCACATCGTCACTTTACAATAGGGTAAGATAAAGTGAATAACATTATCACTACTATAAAAAATTAAGTTACATTATTTATGACCGTGTGCCTCTTTGCAGATTACGACCATTCTGTAATTAAAACAATAACTCCACATTTCTGTTGGGTTGCTATCATTGCAAGAAAGTTGTGCTTTCAGACAAGTGAGTCAGGACCCAGCACAGCAAAAAAAAAAAAAAAAAAAAAAAAAAAAAAAAAAAAAACTGTTTCCATGGTGAAGAAAGATACTGCTGCTCTCATGTTATTGTGCCAATGTTTTATTTAGCTCTTCAGGATTATCTTAGGGGTTGTTTTCTCTTTCTCTGTTGACTTCATCCCTACATACACAGGTTTAAGCACTGCAGTGAGAAACAAGGCTTTTTAGCAGAATTCATTAAATTAATGTGGATGAGTGAGCATGATGAGTGGCTAAGTGGAGCTGTTTTCTTTATTGCATGATTATAAGCAAATATTACTACAACTTTCAAATGACATACTTAATTTTTTTTTGCTTAAAATCTGTATTTATTTATTTATTTATTTTAATTTTATTTATTGTTTTACATCTTTATTCCAAGATCCCTGTGAGAATAAACCCTGACATTATGGCTGCACAATTATTTTGGCGTTTCAATTTAAAAAGATATCAAATAGCATCCGTGGAGGTTGTTAAACTATTATTATACGTTTTTATATTTCTAGAATTAAAATGAAACATCCACGGAAACAACCAAATAAACAAACAACAAAAGGGGCTTTTTTTTTCTACTCCAATGCTGAATCTCATTTGTCTGCCACTGTGTGTCGCTGCTGAGCTACATTCTGTTTTTCAACTTGGAGCTATCCACGGTGCTGAAGTGTCTCCGAAAGTTTAACCACACACCTAATTTGCTATACAGACATAATAATAATAATAATAATAATAATAATAATAATAATAATAATAATAATAAACACGGAAGACTGTTGAATAGGTAAAAGTTATTGTTGAAGAACTAAAAATACTGACATATCTAATACTTTATACAATAACAAAAATTTTACATGCAAAAGCGCCATTTTTTTTATTTATTTTTTTTGTCAAAGACCAATGTTTTCCACGTAGAGTGATCATCTCTTTCAGTCACTATCTCTGCTGCTGTGGTCTGTCTTTTTTTCCTGAGTCATTCTAGTGGCCAGCATCTTGTGGGGCTTTGCTCAATAAAACAGCACCCACCGCAGCATCATGTTGTGGGAACATCCAGTGGGCACTAATCTCCTTTTCATCGAAAGGACATTCAATTCAGCATCTGAGTGCGTTCGACCATTTCTGTCCATTACAAGGCCATCCAAACAAAACCTCCAGCTGACGTCCCCGCAGTGCGGCAGTTTCATTTAAAACCCCTTTAATCATGTTTTTCCGGTTAGTGGAAGTGCCTCGCAGGGTAACATCGTATCCATTCGCCTCTGCTTAAAGGCCACTCGCAACAGGACTTTGTTCCACGCCGTTACATAAAAGATGACTCTGTGGGCACTTTGTCTTAATATACCGATAACTGAAGCAGCAATTACAGGGCTTCGATATGATTCACTCAGTTGTGTAGGCAATTGTAAAGCCATTATACTGCGGTTAGTCTTCCTTAGTACAGTTTTTTTTGTCTTTCTGCTTCCAGTGATTGATAAGATCTTATCTGAGGAAGTAGTCTCCTGGATGCAGATATATCAAACAACAATCAGCTCAATCTCCTACTGTCCTGTTATCGTTTTGTTTCCTACAGAGTTAGAAAGTTTTCGTCCTCATAAATCTTATGTCAATATTGCACTTCTTATTCATTTATATATTTGTTTTTGCAAAATGGGTTGTTTGCGAGAGCAGGAGCGATACTTGTAGTATCAAAACGTGTTTTATTGCTGGGGGGAGGAGGGAGAAGTATATTACTGTTTTAAAATGTCCGACTGTGTGACGCTAGTTGGGGAAACTTACTGTTTGTTGACGGTGGTGCTTGTTATGAGAAGTGATGGCCTTTGGTCGCCAGCGTTGACCGTTAGGTGGCGCTGTCAGTAAATGAACCGCAGCTGTTCTCTTTACAAAGACAGTAAAAGTCGGGGCTCCATCCACTCTGAGGATACACTGAACTCAGCAGCCTGCCCTCGCTGCGCTCCGAGCCGCTTCAGTCGCCAGGGAATTTGACTCGGACAACCCCCGAATATTTTTCAGCAGTCTACCCTGCCGTCTGCTGGCTGGAAGCCGCGGGAATCTCCACTGAAGTTACGGTACGTACGGGCGGCGGACCGCCGCGTCTCCCGCCACCCCGTGCGAGGTGAGGCAGGAAGTGTCTGAACGCGCTCTCCGCAGATTCGTAACGAGCGCGGCTGGGAACTCATGCTTTTTGACGCGACTTGAAGCGCAGATGAGCGGGATGTCAGTCGGACCCGACGCTGTGTTCACGGGTGGAAAATGACTGCAAGCGTCGGCGAGCTTTCCACGATGGTGAGGAGATGCCCTGTCACTTTCAAACCGTTCAGGTGAGATCACGCTCTGTTTTGTGGGTCAGAACCAAACTAGCAGCAAATCATTCCCAGGCGTTAACTAAGCTGGTCATATTAGATGGGTTTCAGTGAAATTAAACTTTTAAGAGATTTTTTTTTCTTTTGTGGAAGAGTTGTTAAAAACTAAAATTATGAAAATTTCCACGCATTTTTTTTTCTGGGTTAATTAAAGAGGAGGACTGGGATATGTATTAACTATTAAAAAAATGATTCCTTTGTAGCATGATCACGACAATAAACTGTAAATACAACACAAATTGCTTATGATTTCTCAAATTGAAAAGGAATCACCTGTCAGTGCATGTCTTTGCATATCTGAGCAGAATCTGCAAGACACGATGTTAGTGCGCTGCACGCTGCATTTTAAATTAGTGATGATTTATTCTTTTCAGTGGAGCAAATCTTGCAAGTTCAGACCATTTGGATTAATTGGGACGACAGGGCACAGCCTGCTCCACAATTAAGGTTTGCTTACTCAGCTCCAGAGTCTTTCACTCTCCCGGCTGCTGCATGGGGAATGAGTGAGAGCCAAACAAGCAGACACATCATTAAAACCACTGAGCCCAACAAGATGTCCCAAACTTTGTGGCTTGCAGCTTTGCATATTGAACAATCCAGGGACAATACCTGTGGGAATTCAACTTTTCTGTATGTTTTTATTATTTTTTTCTGTCCAAAACGAGAGACATTAAACCTGCAATGCCCTGGATTTCAGAAGAAAAAAAAATCACTAGCTCATGTACACTAAGCTTTTATATTATATCATATGTTATATTTTGGCTTATAATGATTTGTTTAAAACATTGTACTTCACAGGTGATAAGACAAAAGAAAGAAGTTCAGTGGATCTTAAAAATAACAGTTGGGTGAAGATTTTATTCTGAATTTTTGCTTATCCACTCAGGGCCATTCTTAAACTTGCAGATTGAAATCCATAAAATCTCCCCCACTACTTGAATCAATAAATGGCAGAAACCACAAGATTTTTGTAACCAACAATGAGGTCCTGACATTGTTCTGGCCAGATGTTTGATCATTCTTCCCTTCCAGATGCTTCATGTTACTTTGCTTTATTCGTTTTTTTTTGTTTGTTTTTTTTAAAGATCTGCGCTTGAGATCCTTGTTCCAGTTGAACGCTTAATTTTGTCAAAGTTTCAAACATCTACCTGCTAATTTAGGAAGAAATTAATTTAGAACAATTGGTAGGAACTTTCTTCACATTGCACAAAGAACAGCCCCCAAGCATGACGCCACCACCACCATGCTTGACAGTGTTCTTTAGTTTGAAAGCCTCACCTTGATTTGTCTAATTATTTTTCTTATTATTGTGGCCACATGTCTAAATCTTTGTCTCCTCTCTCTGTAGTGCTTTTCTCCAGAAGGCTTTCTGCTTGTTTATGTAGGCAGGTGGAACTTCCAGTCAAACTCAATCGTGTCTGTTTCGGAGCAGCCGCGTTTTTTCAGTCGGCATCATCCTCAAAAGTCCATGACCACATTAAACTCTCTGTGCTGACATTGCACCATGTCTCCAGTTTACAATAGACTTGAGACTTCTCAGTAATTTCCTTTGATTTGACAAGGACCTTTTGGGTAAGAAGCAGTTTGATATAAACCAGTTTTGAAATTGATGAAGTGGGCAAAATTGGAAGATTCTGAATGTGGACCTGAATTCAACCCCACTGGAAATGAATGGACTATGCTTTCAAAGTCAAATATAATCCAATATAAATCAGTCAATTTAAATTAGCTCTGGGCAGAAGCATGTTGAAGGCAACATAAAGCATGTGGGTTTACAGTAATTTCACTAGAGAGAAGAATTAATCCACCTTGTTAGTGGGGGGTATTTGTATATGTTTGAGTCTGGCTGGATAAGAAACCTAATTCCTCTTTTCAAAATTACTTGTAAGTTGTTTGTTTTGCCATTTTACCACTCTTAAAAATGAGAGCAGTGGCAGCCTAATAAGAGTATTTGATTCCTAACCATGACAGATGTGTGTAAACTTTTGACCAGCTCATTACCTCTGATTTAATTCAAACGTCAAATTCTAAAGTTCAGTGGAAGGTGCACGCGGTTGCATCTTTAATCACTAATGTGAGCGTTCATGTGTGAGTTTTTCCAGCATTTTAATGCAGATATTAGTTATGCTCTGCCTGGCTGACTTGTGCCCTCTCCTGTGTGAGGTTTCTGCTATGTGAGAAAAACTAAATAAATAAAAAAAAAAAGCAGACTGTTAGAGGAATGAGGTCTGCAGCAAAAAAAGTGTGACAATCCTTCCTGCAGCTTTCCAAACCTTTTCCCAGCACGACATTCGCCGGAGCATTCCAGCGAGTCAGTTTTTTTTTTTTTTTTTTTTTGGGAAAATTACTCCAAAGCGTGCGAGAAGTAGGCAAATGTTTGCCGCTTTCTATAAAACGCAGCACACATCCGTCTTCAGATGAATGTTTTTATTTCGTGCCGTTGCCCACTGAGCGCAGTGTGATGCTGGAAATCTGTCCACATAATGGTTCATTTCAAATGACACAGCCAGGCGAGTACACAATGCCTCCTTGCCGCTTTGGTCGGTACAATATGAAGCTTGAGAAATTCGTCCGTGCTTTGTAAATCCACACACACACACACACACACACACGTCAGATATTTCACTCAACGCTCCACTTGAGCTTTTCAGCCGCAGAAATCATCTCCTGCCCCCATTTCTTGTTGTTTTTTCTTCCCCCGTTCTCACCTTGTAAATCACTCGTTTTGTAAATTGATCAGCCTTCTTGCCTGTTTCCTGCAGGATCTTCGTAGTCGGGGTCGGCTTCTTCAGCCTGTGCTTTCTAATGACCTCTCTCGGGGGCCAGTTCTCGGCGAAGCGGCTCGGAGACTCCCCGTTCACCACGCGAGCTGAAGGTAAGTCACACATCAGTGCAGCCTGGTAGCCCGGTGGCTCCAGCCGAGCTGTGTCCTGGGCCGGTAATGAGCAGGCTGGAAACACGCTGACAGATCCGTGGAGCTGCCTTGATTGCTGCCAGCCGACTGACAGACCTGTTCACTTTTCCCATCAGGGGGCACCGTGGGGGCACATTGCCCTGAGAGGCCTTTTTCTTTCCTCATCAAATCTTTTATCTTTTTTTTTTTTTTTTTTCTCTTTCATGTCGTGACCGTGCTCTTGCCCATTTGGAATCATTTTGTCTGCAGCTGAAGACTGGATGTCTTGAGACCTTTAATGTATTTTATTGGGCGTCTGTGTCACAGAATGAAGTGAAAGATATATATTTTGTTACATTTTGTAAATACAAATCTGAAAAGCCCGCCGAAGTCATCAAATTTTGAAATGGAGATGTGGAGATTATTAGCTAAAGAAGCAACCAGGAATTTTGCGGTGACTCTGGAGGAGCTGCAGAGATCTACAACTCAGTTTGAAGATTTTATACATGGCTGGGGGGCGGGGGGAGATTACCTTTGCACCCCACTAAACAAACCTTTGAGAAAAAAGTGACTAGATAAGCAGTGTTGTTTACAGGAAGTCCGGTTTCAAGTTTATCGCATGTGGAAGAAGAATGAGTTCAAAATGTTGTTTTTTTTGGCCTACAAGCAAACACTGTTTAAAGGAAAACTAGCACTGCACTTTACTGTGAATTGACCATATGCACTGTGAATTTTAGTGATGGTAGGATAATGCAGTGGCGATGCGTTTCTTCAGGAACGCATCACCACTGAAGATGCGTTCCTGTGGCATCTTCGGGAGTTCAGGTGTCTTAGAAGAAAAAAGTTTAAGAGTGTAATCTGCCAAAACTAAAATTAGTCTCCCAGTGAGGAGTCGAGATGGTAATATGTATAATTATAGACCAAAAGTATAGATCTTGGAAGCCAGTGTGATAAAAGTGGAATACAATTTTTTCCCTTGAAAGCTGCGTATTTCCGACTTGTCAGCTGTGGTTGAAAAGTAATGCGGAAATAGATTCTCCTGCCCTCTCAGATATCAACAAATGAGAGACTCAACAAAGAGAAGTCAGAGTTGTTGACAACCCGTCCCCGAGAGAAAGCCGACTTTCTTGGCACGTTCTTCGTGTTTACGCTTTGTGCCTCTGCACACAAACTGCTGGAGCTTGTGCCACTTAGTGGAGTCGCTGTTGGTTCTTGGACTGTTGTCTCCCACCTTTTTATCGCTGCTCGACACAAAAGTGACACTACGGGTCAATCTGTGTAACGGATCCCAGCTGGCGAGAGAGAGACTGTGAACCGCCTCTATCCAACATCACTCATCCAAGGACAGCAGTTGTTGGCAGCTTGTTGCACCGTTGTCGGTTTATTTATGTATAAATGAGGAGGCAGTGATTACCACAGACCTACTCAATGATGCCGTTTGTCCTCAGAACCGCTGGTGGCTTTTGATGACCGTGATATGGCTGCGTGGCGACATCCTCGCTTGATTCGTTTTTTTTTGTTTGTTTGTTTTTCTTTTAAAGAAGAGAAGAAGCGGAGCTGTTGAGTTGTCGCCCTGCTGCGTTGTTGACAAAGTCGACTAATAAAGGCCGCCCGTCGGCCCGGGCGTCTGCACTCTGTTTTGAAGAAGGGTGGCTTTTAATTGAATGATATGTGTGAAAAAGAAATTGGGGTACTTGACTTGGGAAGAAAAAAAAAACAGAATCAAAACCACACAAATAGTTTGTGAGAATAACACAAACGGCTCAATTTTACTGGCTAAAGAAGCAAGAGGAAGCATTTGTTTTCATTTGGGATGCAAGTAAAGGATTATTTCACAGGTTTTTAATGAGCCTCAACTCTTTGATCCTCTGATAAGACTGTTCAAGTGTAAACTAGAAGACTTTACGCTTGACGGAGATTCTTTAAAGTTTGAGTTTTACGAAACCTTTATTCTATTTGTGGAAAACAAGAAAAAGAGCATGTATGTCTATGTGACTACGTGGACTGGGTACTACTTTTCTGCACTGCTTTAGCTGTTGTTTGTGTATATATTTCTCACAATGTCATCATTACGAGTAAGATGCCAGAAACATTGCCCAGTGATCGATTCCTCCTGATACTGGCTATCCCAGTGAAAAATAGGAAGGTACCAGCTGAATTCACCCAGTTTGTGCACATATTTAAGTACTGATTCTCAAAAACTGTACTTTCCGGTCATTTTACCATACAGTACTACAGTAAATTTTCTTTGCTACTGCCCACCTCTGGCATCCACCAGGTCTCACAGATCATCAGAGACGATCCATTACAATCCTAATTCTTGAATTGATGGGTTCACACTGCATCGAGTGGCCCCAGAAGTTCACAACACAAAAACAAAGTTTTTTTTCTAAGTGTACTTCTCCAAAAAAAAAACAAACATTTTTTTTGGGTGAAATCTTGCATCCCCATATGTTTAGAATAGATTTCCCATCATCGCGTCATGCTGCTGTGTGTTTGCGTATCAGTAAAAGATGCGAAAGAGCGAGTTAAAATGGCGACCCGGTGCCGTGGATAGTCGCTGTGGTATTTAAAGATATCATTTTTAGCTCCTTGTTTAAAGCACCAACCTCAGCTAAAACTCGCGCAGCTCTAGAACAGAGGTGTTGGCAGCCATGAAATGTTGCGAAGTGCATCAGGTGTCGTCACGGGAGGCAATTTAAAAGGTCTCGCCTATTTATACGCTGCTGCAGGGTGAATGGAGAGAGGAGGCATTGTTGGGGGGGGGGGGGGGGGCGGGGGGGGGGGGGGGGTTAGACGGGAGAGTGGTCTGAT